GGTGGATAAACTTTGCACAGTCATCTGATAATATATAATAATCTGATACAAATTGAATTTATCAACCTCATTCACTTCTGCATGAAAATATGAAACAGATAAACAGGGAGCAATATTACATAGGCACTTTGGAATTTTATTAACTTTCATTAAAAAACTCTAGCAGATGATATGTTGTATTATGTGTCTTCCTGGTCAACGGATATGAACTACTAGCAAGATACATTCAACTGCATGTATACACTAGTAAATTTATATCCAAGAAGAGAAAGCAGTAAAATGGAAGGAATAACCAACTTGAAGCTTCAAAGAAATAAAGAAAAGTTATATATCCGCACAGAAGGAAGCAGATTCATCTGAACAAAACAAGAAAATCGAAGTTCTTATAGAATTCTGGTAAGTACATCCTAGTCGAATAGATAGACAGTGAATAAATCAAGATATAAAGCAATGACACATGTTGAGTTTGACTTCTCCATAATGCTTAAAGTCACCCGGATACAATTTCGACCACAAAAATGAAATGTATTCAAATGATTATTATTGGTGAAATCAAGTGATCTTCACACTTACTGAATGCATGATGAGAGCAACAATTCACGTGGTGTTTATTTTCTCACAAAGACAATAAAAATCACAGTTTAATATCAAACTAAAGAGTGAAGGGGAATCACTCTTGTAAGCAGGATGAATCACCGATTTTTATTATGGACTTACAGTTACTTCAAGAACTAATCCGGCCGTTATTTAAGTAATAGATATGGCAGCTTCAAAAATAAAATTTGACCATGTAATACCAACCCGTTCTGACTTATATTCTAACCTTCAACTGAACTGAATAAAAGATAAGCGCTAACTAACTGACTTTTACACACTAAACATCACTGGGAAAGTAGTGCTTTTTTCATTTTTCGTTTACTTTCAGTCTAAAGTGGACTTATTTGAAAACATTCTAGTGATCACTTTTTGAGGTCTGGCTGTCATTGGATAAAAATCAAGGCTTTAGAACAACCACTGAGATCATTTACTTAACAATTAGTTTCATGTAGTTCGATACATAGACTCCACAGGGATCTCATAAGCAACTATAGTTCCAGGTTAACTGCTTAATCTCGCCTAGAAAACCTGACAGTTGTATGACTTCAAATAACTTCATATTCTTTCTGTACATTTTCAAGTCTCCATAGAAGAATAAAAAGAACTGCTTACTGAAGTCATGGTCTGAAAACTACCCAATATCGCGTGAGAAATATGCTGAGGTTTTTTAACAACTAATATCCACTTAAGTATAGAGCGTCAGTATGCAATCAGAGCGCAACAAGAATTTAGTTAACTGACGGGATAGCAACCCTTCCTATAGTTTCGTTCTCATGCGTTTGTCTAAAAAGTTGCACAGTTGAGAGGAAACTGACTTTTAACACACTAACTGACAATAACTACCGAAATAAACTGTTCTTCACAAGCTTACGGAATTAATAAGATAAAAACCAGCGACTCTGATAGGGAATCCACGAATTTGACACAGTTATAGAAATAATTTTATGCTCTCCTGTTTCGTGCATCATTATTTTTGTTGTGAAAAATCCCTCAATTTTGAAAACTTCTGCTTACTCAAAGTAACATAAGTATCATAAACCTATCAAGATCTATGACAACATTTTCACACTTGCTTCGAGAACGAAGTAACAGACCTGTGGATTCAATCTGTGAGTAACCAGAGAGAAAATAATCTTTATAGTAACAAACAATCTCGTCTACTTCACACAACAGCTTTAGGCTTTTGAGTACTAGAGGTAAAAGAAGTTGGACTGAATTACATTGAAAACTTATTTATCTCTTTCAATTCGGTATTTTTGTATATCTTTATTTGCGTGCGTTTTTTGCCTAGGAGGTTTATGGGAGTATACAATGTTATCTATACATACATTCTAATAACTATCGATTTGTGTATCCTATTACAAGTTTAGACAGATCTGATATGAATTTCATTTCCTGTTAATGGGACTTCAACTTCAGGCAAAAATATTCTTCTTTGAAGGAAACATATACGTCAAACAGATAAGTAGTCTGCCCTTAAATCTGAACCTTTTAGGTCATAATCAGCCTTCTAACATTTAAATTCTACGAAAGATGGGTAAAGTTTTTATTCTACCTAGGTCAGTGATGAAACAGAGCTATTTATTCCACAGTATTCGACAAGTTTCAAGGTACAAAGCACTACACACCTAACCACTTGATTATTACTTATCAAATTTATGGACTAGATAATTTTCACTTCATTTGTTTCACATACCATTTCTAACGACTACAATGATCCATCAGTCAAATGAATTTATTTTTTAGGATAAAGTTGACAGCCAACAATGGAACTGATTGACCATTTAAAAAAACCTCGATTGTACTATATATATTCTCATATGAAAGACAGTGAACACTTTAGAAGCATCACAGAAAATTATAAAGTGGATGTGAAAATATATTAATTACATCATCGTTCAATGTCGAATGTGGCTGAAATTATTTTTCCAAATGACAACGGGAACAGTAGTGTATCCTGTGTGAAAAAAGCGTTGAATATTTGGAAAGACAAAGAAGTATTATTCGCTCCTTCAGGTTACCAAGATTGTAATTCATTTAAACACATTTTGACGAGATATTGAAAACTGTATTCTGTTGTTCAACTTTTTAACAATAATAAGTGTGTCTTATCAGACAAGTTACACTTACACGCTCTCAACCAATTAGTTCTGAAAAAAGTCTACCTACTCTACAGGGGTATTCGAACTTGAAGAAAACTGGAAAAAGTTTGATAAGCTATAACATTCAATGATAACTAGCTTTTAGTACATTTCAACCGATTAAGTAAATGTTAGTAAGCATTCAGAAAGTTGATTTTATGCAAAGTTAATAAAACCAATCTTATTTTGAAAGTAAAAATGATGTCAACCAGTTGTTTACCAGTTTTTCATTGTATAGCAGTGTTTGTATTGACCCAAAAGATGAAAACAAGTCAAGTGAAATCTTATTATCTAGTATGTGTTATTGAACTATACCAGCCATCAAAGCCAGCCAAATAGTGTGGAACAACAAATGAATATTCAGCCTGTACTTTCCAAAGAGTCATATTGATAAGTGAATTATTATTGAAAAAAAAGAATTATTATTATTAGACGCTCTTAAACAAGTTTTGACTCCTTCATGTGCCTGATTCCATCAACGAAGGTAAATAAAGTGTAAGAACAGCCAGGTGTGCAAAAAATCATTCACGTTTTTTATATGTATCGATAAAGAATATATTTCAAAGATTAATCAATACATATTAAAGAGAAATCTAGACTAGGGCTATCACAGAGAGTCTCAACAGCAATACAAATCACTATTCTCCTCTCCCTATTCGACTCGATGTAAATTGTGACGGGGACTTTTGGCTGGAAAGATAGTGTGATTACAATGAATAAACAGGTATGCACTATGCATTCCTAGGAAAGCTGGTAATAACCGTTAGTAATTGAAGTGAGGTGAAAACTTATGTGGAGCTGGCTTTCGTATTTGAACTGACAGAACGCCACGTTAGTAATCCAAAGATTGTTCGTTCAAATCTCTCTTCTATCCAGGCTTTCATTTCAACTCTAATCATCACCCTACATCAAAAATATAAAGAAGTAGCAAATTATGCTCTATATGTTTCCAAACTAGGGATTATTAGGGAAATGAAGTGTGGAATTCACATCAGTGACTGAAATGAATAAAGTCTGCACTACTTACATCAATCGTTTGTACTTATTAACAAGAACCAGATGTATAGTGCCAAATTCGTCAACAATGTACTCAAGCTAGCCCACCTCAAAAAGTCGAATCATCCAAACTACGTGACTGAAGTGACCTCTAAGGCCTAACTGCTTCGGTCATTGGTATAAATCGTTTAGCTTTTATGCACTCAGTCTTGACATCATTTTGAGTGTCAAGCAAGTTATAAATTAGGGTCCTAATGCTTTAGTTTTTAAGGAAAGAGCAGTGGGTTTTTAGAATCATGTCTTATCTAACTTTATTGTTACCACCACATAATGTCTATGTAGTATATGACGTCTCCGAGTTTTCTATCCTGACAACCTCTACGAAATCTTTTCTACAGAATTTTACTCATCACTTGAATTTCTTACGACGTCAGCAGATCCCAAGTGGTACTGACAAGTTTTACATACAAGAAAATGTTTAGTGAACAAACTTTGCTGCAATAAACTGAGCATCCATAGTTGGCCTCTTCAAATTTTAGAAGTATTTTGTTCTTTCTACCAAACATGACACTTATAGTTAGCTTCGATTCTCCTTGGTTTGCCTACCAAACAACGAGTATTAAAAACTACAGTGACTAGTTGAACATGTTTCTTTTTACTTACAACCTCTTTTGACTGAACATACTTTATAGTGTGTATCAATAGATAAGCATAACCAGGTAAAAATATCAGGTTCATCATAGTTTCAACATGAAATTTACTTTGAAACAGCTGTTCTTTAGTACTTATACGTTACCAGTAACTTAAAGATTTTGCATATTGAAAATTAGTCCCTACAATAAACTAAAACACGTTCTAACAATTTACTAGGCACCTGTTTATTACTCACTATTCATTCATAGTGTATATAAAGTTTACTTCCGTCTATATTGTGCAACGGTTTATTCATAGTTGAGTGCACATATCTGCGTAAATGTGCATACTTATTGACTGTCTAACTTCTGCTTTGCAACCCGGATACAGATTGTTTTCCTTTTATTTGACTGCTACTCTTCAGTGTATTCAGGTAATCAGGAAAAGAAAGCATAAATGATCGAAGTGAACAAGTCTTAAAATTTACCTGTACATGTGTTTTATACTTTTCTCAACTTTTCATGACCAACTTGCTGCTTTTTTTCTCTTCGATTTAAACTAAAGTTTGTTTGAATTCCTCCCAGTCATGTTTTTTTCTTCACCTTGTCTCTCTTTTCGTTATTTCTACAACAGATATTTATCAAAACTCCAGCTGAGCAATGTACACACAACTGACAGTGCTAATTATACTTGCGTAGCGGAGAATCTGAACGGTGATATACATAAATCAGTACAAGTGATTGGTTAGTGATAAGTTATTTCTTTGCTTTGTTTTGTTGAAAACTATGCATTTCTAAGACAAGTTATTTAAAACATGTTGGCATATGTAAACACATCAAATAGCTTTGATAACAGTGGACTGTATCATGATAGAGATGTATATATGAGGAAGCTTCAAATATATTATTATCCATGATTAAGTGGATAAAAAGATTTAACCGACTTCTGTTGATGAATAAAGATTGCAGTTTTCTCACTTGAGTTGTCTGTTACAAAAATAAGAATCTAAAATACTCTATTTGGGCTAAGCAAAGAGACATTTTCGAGGGGACAAGACAATTAAGCCTATAATGTCAATAAGTGGATTAAGTAACTTCAGTTGAAATAACATATGGATGCAATGATGAGATAATTCTTACGTCACTTTGAAATAACAACAATAAGTGACAAACATCAATATTAAGAACAAGATATTCAGCGAAGAGACTCTTTTCAACGAATTTATTTTCAAGCTGTACAATCGTATATATATGGTATTCGGAAAAAATTATATCCTGTGAGGAAAACTAAACACTATATGGTGATGACAGTAATAATAGAGCGGGTGATGACACAGGCATTTATGATTATAATAACAATTGAAGTGCGAATGATAACAAATAGATTATGTAATATATGGAATGGTACATAGAGAGTATATAACTCAGAAGGGGGTGAACAAATTATTGAAAATGGTAAATCAATTAATTATTATGTAATGGCATTAGACAAATTGGACAAGATGAAGTCAGTGTTTTCCGAAAGGATTAAGACAATTAAGTGAAATAACACCGGAAACTAGTTGAAGTGAAGGCGATTATAATAACAATAATAGTGATAAAGGAAGGATACAAAGGTTAAATTAACAAAGTGGGAGGGGGAGCTAATGGGGTGGGAAAATGTTATGGCCATAATAAAGACAGTGACTGCACATACTTCTTTTGTACACACAGATCAGGTCTTAGTTCATGAATAGCTAAAGCCTCCGCTGTTTTAAGGAGTTGAAAACGAAGAGAACGTGGGAGGTTTGGGCGAATTCGATAAATAATTTCAAAGTCATCGTCTGGATTTGTTGTGTGATGGAAGTCAATCAAATGTTCTAGAATCGAACTTCTAACAGACTTTCTTTCACCTTTATAAAACCAAGCAGGAACATGTTCTCGTATACGTGTAGAAAGCATTCTCTGGCTACGGCCGATGTACCTTGCTCCACAGGAGCAGGTGAACTGGTAGATGCACATAGAGGCGGCCAAACGAGGAATCCTTCCTTTATTACTATTATTGTTATTATAATCGCCTTCACTTCAACTAGTTTCCGGTGTTATTTCACTTAATTGTCTTAATCCTTTCAGAAAACACTGACTTCATCTTGTCCAATTTGTCTAATGCCATTACATAATACTTAATTGATTTACCATTTTCAATAATTTTTTCACCCCCTTCTGAGTTATATACTCTCTATGTACCATTCCATATATTACATAATCTATTTGTTATCATTCGCACTTCAATTGTTATTATAATCATAAATGCCTGTGTCATCACCCGCTCTATTATTACTGTCATCACCATATAGTGTTTAGTTTTCCTCACTGATGTCAGTCTTCGATGAATAACAACTATTAAACATCAATATCTTTCTTATTATTTTATCACCTTTTGATGGTCAAAGCGCTTGACTTCTCTGCTTCTATGTGAAATCAGAGTTTAAAACAATATTGAAGTCTAGCTGACCTCCAGTGATTGTTAGTACTGGGCTTGTATTTGTCAATGCAGACTGAGGCTTACCAAGAATATTAGAGTTGAGAAAGAAGCCTAAAGTAGATTCCCAACAATGTCTTTAGCTTAAAAAAACAGAGAAAAAGTTTTGACAAAGAAACCGAAAACGTTTTTTATTGTGTAAACCTTTCGAAATTATAAAACTAACCAATGAAAACGTAGGTTATTTGTTGACAGTTCATTTAGAAATTATTATGAACGTGGTGCTAACAGACATCAACTCACTAGCGTGGCCAACGGTACACCATCATATTACCATATCATCATCTCCTCAATGCAATAAAATTATGAAAAGGAAGTTTAGCAAACGCTGTCATTGGTGTATATGGCAGTGTACTTGTCGGCATACCTCATGTATACAAAACCCACAGAAAACGGAATAAAAGTATCATGATGTGCATAAGAAAATATTACTGCTGATTTTGTAGCGAATAATTTTTGGATGAAATGCTGACAGTCGTTTTAGTCTTGGCTAGTGAAAAATTCCAAGTTGCCATAATTAAAATGTCTCAGTAACAGATGATCTGCAATGCATATCCCTTAGGAAATCAAATCAGCTAACATCACCAATAGAGTTATGAAGTTGCACTAATATATTAAGGAAATAGAATGCTCATGAGAAAAACCTGAGCACAAACATCAAGTCGGTCAGTATACCGAATAGTTTTCTGATTGGACTTAGCATATTTTCAGTGGACAACATGAAATCAGTAGCTCTTTAGTGACTAGCCAGTTTGAATACACCAAAGTTTAAATATGGTTTGGAATTCCATTGAACTCTGATATACTAGGATTAAAGATACAAATTTCTGAATGTACTTATATCTATATACTATAGAATTCGATCAATTAACTTCATAAATCTTGCTCTGTCTTTCCACACATATTTAGTTAAGCCTACAACAACACTTCCACCGCCAACAGTAACTCTGATCACCACACCGGAAATAGCAATAACTCCTCCCAGTAAGTTTAAAGTAATTTTGCACATATAATTTAAATGAACGTAGCATATTTTCACCTCATATATACTTTAGAAATTACAGCCAGTACTTGACTAAGAATTTTCAGACTTCTTAACACCAAATAGTTTTATTACCGAATACTAATTTCTTCCTCCCTCAAAAATAATCCTAATTTAAAGACGCCTGCAGATGAATATTTAAGAAACTCAGAGTGATGGTATTGATGATAAAAACTTAAAAGCAGAATCGGAATTTTTCGAGACTGAGAAACTCCTGTTTGGGAGATTATCTATGCACTGTCTACGTAGAAAAAGGTTTTTTGCAACCGTTAAGTATTTTTTCCTGATAAAACACGTATGATGAAGTGACCGATTCAGCACCCTTTGTACTGCCAATTATAATATATTATACGTATACATATTTTAACTGACAACTTTGAGTATGATCACGCTGATAGTGAACAACCTTAATGAACGCTCCTTTTCAATTTTTGAATCCACAAACGCCATTTTCGTTTGAGATTTATTTGAGAGATTAATGGATTTCCAGGTAGTATTCATCAAAAACTGATGTTACTTTTCGAACAGTTGAAAACCTGGGGGCAATGCACAGTTGTCTTGTCCTAGTATAGGGCTCTCAGTTATACACATAAACTTTCTTATTGTTTTATTTAACTAAGTACCTGATATCGAAGTAGGGCTTCTGCATTTAGTTTTATTTAGCGGTGTCAAACGTACACGGTTTGAATACGTAAGCCAGTACCACCTAGCAAATAATCTGTCTGTTTTGAACAGACAGAAAGGTAACTGTAATCGGACTAAACTGATATAAATCAGTTCTGTTTAGAGGGTTTTACCATTTGCTTGAACCCAAAGCAATAAGATTTTTGAATAACTTAACAAAAAGTGTCTCAGCTCTTTGAATACTTTAACAACAGAGCATCGATACATAGAGACAACAATGCTTTCATGTAACCGAAACTCAAGGAATAGAGGAATTAGACTTGAAGGACTGATAATGCAGTTGTTCAGGTACAGGAATTTCTGGCGAAGCTCTGAAATGCAAACGATAAGCTAAATTGCACATAGAAACACTGCATATCTACATACGGGTGTCAGCTTTTCCTGAAATGAAAATTATCCTTATTATTATTATTAGTGTTTTGTTTCATATTTCTGATCATAACAAAATTTTGACAGTAAGTTTAGTTACCTCGTGTTTTCTAATTGTTAGTCTCCTAACTCTTTACATTCTTCACTTCACACAAACTATTTTAACCTTGACGACCGTTGGCTCCATTTGCCCGCTACTGTTTACTCTTGCTTTCAGGAACGTTGTTCAGTTTACCCATTTATAGGCGAACTCGGAAACAGTGTTCTTTCAAAACTAGTCATCTGACCACTTTAATTTGACTTACGTTAAATAGGTATCATCTCTTCCAGACGATACAAAACCGTCTTGCCAATATTTAGATATTAAGAACTGCTTCGTCTTAAAGCTGCTAGTGACAAATCCTGAACCAAATTCGACACATGTTATTTCGTTAAAACCGTAGTCTTTTCCCTATATACATTTACTAAAGGAAGAAACTAGATACAAAATTTGTTTTCTGTTTCGTAACCCCTCATCAGCTGCCCACCACACCAAATAAAATCATTCCTAGATTTTTCATCCACTTACTTTCATGTCATATATCAGTTAGAGCTGTGGAAAGTGAGGCCAGAAAAGTAACAGCTTGGTCCAAATAACTGTTAAGATGCCTTAATCAGTATCACTGATATTGTTTAACAACAGAATCTGAACATTTACCAAAGCGAACAATATTTCAAGTACATCTGGACCTTTTTCATGTAGTGACTTATAAAGAGATTCAGAAACGTAAAAGCATCAAATAAACAAGTAACATACATACCCATTTAACTAGTGATGAATGTACTTTATTTTGAGCTGATGCTGAAAGTAAATACAACTTTTGCAAGAAATAATTCTAGTTAGATTTGTCGAAGTCCTCAAAAGAGATTCGTAAAGAACAAGAATCTAGCTTCTGTATCACGTTGTATATGACTTTAGTTATCCCCCTTGAATATTTTGACTAACTTAATCTCCCGACTGAAATAGGTGGTATTTGATTATCCAAATGATTTGTTAGCCTATAACAACAAAAAGGACAGATAATCAGGTTAATCAGTATAAAAACCCTTCACCGAATGTATATTAAGTGAATTTTCCATATCTCTTTACAACATAAACTTGAAGGGTCTCCAGAAAAAGTTTGTCTTGTTAGAAAACAGAACCAAGAAATGATGATTAGTGAGTACTTCGAAGATAATGAGGAGTGAATTTATTTACACCACTGAGGTTTACTTTTGGCCGTGTAGCTAAGTTTTCAGCCATCGATCTGTAAGATTTTTCACGGGTTACAGTTAAACAACATAATTATCCCCAGACGGCTCAAGGGAAGATCATACATCCATCAACTGTACCACCTTATTTGAACCAAACCCAGCTTTTCATCAGCCTCATCTACTGCCATACTTTCTAGGGTTGACCAAAGAAATTAGATTAGAAGCATGTTGAACGTGACAGCAAATTTCGTTCTCACCAAATGCTTTCCTAAATCAACAAAACTTTTTGATCAATATCAGTCTTTCATTTACGTATAAGAAGTCAAAGAAATCAATGTACCTTAAGATTGCAAAAAAACGTCAGCCAAACCAGTGCATTAAATTTATCATACTGTGAACATATATCTATCAAAAAGAAAAAATTATGAAATATCATTAATACGAGTAAAACGTGGGCATTATGGCAGATTGTTATTCCTTCGTAGTTTGTTTATTTGGTGTACCACACAATGAAAAAATTACCCAGTGGATAATACTGTTTCACTTTGTGATGCATTTAATAAAATAAACCGAAGATTGGAATATTTTATTTAGTCTGCTTGGTGGTTGTCAGTGCGATTCAGCACACACGTTAAGTCTTATTTGGGACCCTTCAGCTGGGTGCATCTGAATCAATGCGAGTGGTATTGTTCTCAGTGAAACTCAAATGCAACAGCATTATCCTCTAAAATATCACAAGTATCAGTAAACAAAAATTGGACTGCTAAGTTTCTTCGAATATTCATATTTCTCTAACGTAACCACTGTCATTTATTGTTTGTATCCGTTTGAAATGAACACTATTACTGTGTATTTGATTTTAAAGATCTTTCAAGACGTCGTACAAATAGAATTCTTATTTTACAGAAATTTTTCACGGTAATTAAAAAGAGTTTGAAGCACTTATTTAATGTGGGGTTAGTAAATTCTAAATGATCCGAATTTTTACTGAGAAAAAATAATGACAATATTTAATTCATAGGTAAAAGACACTTATATTTTAATACTGACATTATACTGCTGAAACTATTGTGAAACTGGGATGAATTTTTGAGCAATTGACGGTAAAAATAATAATCGTAATAAGAGTAATAACAAACACTACAAAACCAATGACAACGAAGAAATAGTATGAACCATATAATTAACTGTGCATTTCTTAAAACTAAATTAAGCAAATGTTTACGAATTCATCACTCGTGTTCATTCACTTTGGTTTGAAACAATAATGAATGAGTTGAAGAATCCTTAAGTGAATGGGTATAAAAAAAAGTTTAATGAACAGTCAACTTTCATTAGATTAGTCCTACTTACCTACTGGTATGATTAAAAAGTGGAATTTTAATCATAATATTCAGAGAACTGATCCTACTTGGCTTTTTATTTTTAATAACAGACTACTTTTATAATGTAATGAAAGAGATGGATGATAGAAGGGAACCAGAAATAGTGAATTAGAATTCGAATTATCAAAATAAGCTCGTTTTATTTTAAAAGAATACTAACTTTATTTTGTATGTACTTTGTTCCATTATAAATAAGAAAATAATAACAAGATTCTTCTGAAAGTTTTATTGTGTATACCACAGTGGTACACCATTTGACCGCATATATTTTGATATTTAATAAAAATCCGAATATTTTGCTGAAGAAGCTATGGCATGCACATAGAATTGTTCAGAAAAATCCTGTTTTGATTTTCTAAACACTTTGCGATAATATTGAAACTTACTTATATAATAATTAAATCAGACTTTGCGATCAGCTTCTTCCAGAAAATTCGTAACAACTATGTCTAGGACGTTTACAGAGTCTATATACATTCGAAAATGTGGAACATAAGTATACGAATGAAAATTATTAAAAACATGTATGAAACACTTTTGATTACTGGTACAAGATAAGAACCATTCAGCAAACCATATCATCTGATTAAACTTTAACTAATACGCTAGATAAGTAGACTTTTCAGAACCACTCTGGAGAAGAATACAGTAAAATTTATCATTGTATGAATCAATTCATTTACCCACTTCAGATACATCTAGACGGCATTATTCTTCAAGTATAACAATGAACACTGTTAGGTTCAACGTTAAAATAAGTATAAGCTCCCTTTATTGTTCTCACTAAGCTTGGTACTAAATCTAAATGGGTAAAAGACAAAAATTAACAGCATCCTATAAGTAATACTTTTCATTTGACGATATTATAATCATAAAAGATAATGAGATAGCATACAACTGTGGAATAGTAACTTGAAGTAGTATGATGATGAAAATATAAGGACTGAAAACTGTCAAGAGGCTAAATAATAAACAATTATTTTTGAAGAAAATGTTTAGAATGAACTTAGTGATTATCTAACTTAAAAAGTGCCTACACAATGAACAGCACAACTTAAAAGGAATGACTGACTTTCAAAAGCTTCAAAAATTGTACAGTTTACAGTGATATCCCTCACAGCTGAGACAATTTTCAAACACCCAACTATAGTTCCCATAAATAACCAAGATCTCAAATTGTCATCTCACACACCAGTGTCATGAATTAGAGAAAAAACTACTATAGGATGGACCGCATAAAATTGTGGATGGCTGACAAATTCGCCATCAAA